CCCGGCCCCGGCGGGCGGGGATCCATCGGCAGCGCCCTTCTGGCAGGTGGGACCGAGCCCCGGCACCGGGGGCTCTCCGCGTGGCGCCGGAGAGGCGAGGGGAGAGGCGGGGAGGGGACTCGGCGCCCTCGCCATCAGCCCTGGCCCTCAGTGCCATCACCCTCAGCCAGGGCATTTTTTAATGCCCGGTGCTTCCTGTGCTCCTTTGGGCCTTATGTTGCTGTTTCATTCAGTTTTTAGAGCCTGCCTGTGAAGAGAAGCCCCCCGGGAGAGCAGAGCCCGCCGCAGGAGCCGACATCCTCACCCTAACCAAGGTATGAAACAGCGCACAGCGCTGGGAAGATTTTAGCTGCTTGCAAGGCACAAAGAAAGCTGCAACTGCTTAACTGGTTGCCTGTCTCTCTATAAACTAACATACTAAAATGTCAGTATTCAAGAAAACGTCTTAAATTGACTTACTGGTGAGTCTTTTAAACCCATCCTCCTGCCTGAGCTCACTGCTGCCTTAGTTCATGGGCAGAGGTTGGAGTCGTTCAGTTCGATTAATGTGTTTACTGTAATGCTCCTGTTTCTTAGTTTTCCCTTTAGTGGAGATAAGGATGTTCTTCAGAGCGATAGCTCTCCACCAGTCTTTTATTAATTTACAGAAAGGAGCAGCTCTATCAGGCACATAAGCAAGAGAGAATTCCTGAAAAGCAGCCCTTGAAATTGAAAAATAGTGTCATCAGGCAGTGTCTAATGTTGTTCTAGGTCCCGAAATTGAAGTTCAAACTAACTGAACAGGACAGAAAAATGAGCTCTCAAAAAAAGAACAAACTGTCCTACAGGTACCCTGGGCTTTTTTTTTTTTTTTTTTTTTCTTTTTGTATCTGGTCTTACAGTCCACAAGAGAGGATGAAATTAAACAACCCTTTTGGCATGGAAATTCTCATCTTCGTAAGCTTCAGGCTCAGTTTTCTTGGCTGCTCACACCTCCCCAGTGGGACACTTAGAAGTTGCCTCCTGATTGATTTTTTTTTTTTGTGAACAAAACGATGTGAAAACGGTTAAAAAAGAGCCTTTACAGCTCCCGTGGCTGCAATAATCTCTGAAGGACCAATCATCCCTGTTTGCCCATGTCACAAATTCTTAAGTAATTTGAACAATGTTCTGTCTTTATTTTCTGTGTAATTTCCTGGGAAACTGCGTTACAACAGTGGCCTAGATTTTAAGAAATACAAAGCAATATTTTTATTATTATTATTTCTGTGAAACTATAGGCATAAATGGAATAACAATTACAATTTTAATAATATTTATAATAGTCCACCATTATTATTTTCGTTTATTTGTTTTAGGCATACTTTTAGTGTACAGTAGTACTGTATTTAAATCAGGATGAACAAAGAATTAATAAATTGCTGCTAAATAATTCCCAATCCATTGGGAAGCTGTCCTGAATTGCTGTTGGTGGGTGTATCAAAGTCACCACACAGCTGCACCAGGGCAAAAATCACTTATGGAGACACTGGGACCAGTTTTGTGAGAGGTGAGACCAAACACACAGGGTTTAGTCTCTTATCCCAAACAGAGTAAAAAACTAGTTCTTTTTTTAATCCCAGACAAATGAGGTTTTTTGTTTGGGATAGGAAACTAGTTTTGTTGCCCTAGTCTGCTGTAGCTGGGGTTCAAAAGGCACAGTGCATAAATCAATAAATAATACAGAAATTAGTGCTGTATAAGGTGGGGAAAATGGGGAATGGGCTTTCTGGCCAGTTCATCACACGCTGTTTCTGTCACTGCTCAGGGAGAAGAGTCCTTTCCCTGCTCCAGCCTGGGCTCCTCTCTCCATGGACCACACATCCCTGCCAGGACCCTGCTCCGGGTGGGCTTCCCACGGAGTCACAGCCTCCTTCGGCCATCCCACTGATCCGGGGGGTCCTCCAGGGGCTGCAGGTGGATCTCTGCTCCCTGTGGACCTCCAGGGGCTGCAGGTGGATCTCCACTCCCTGTGGACTCTGTTTTGGGTTTGCAAGGCCAGGCTTTGGTGCCAGGGGCTGCAGGGTGGGATCTGGGAGCAGGTGCTGGAAGCTTCCCTCGTGCTCACCCCAACAGGGCAGTGCCAGCCGGGTCCAGGCTGAGCCCACCAGAGCTGGCAGTGATGCCTGTGGGAGAAGGGATTGGAGAAGGGAAAAGAAAGTTCTGGCAAAGAGGGAATTGCACTCTAAGAAGGGAGGAGTGAGAGCAGGGCAGAGGAAGAGCCCTGCAGAGCGTGGGGCAGGGCAGAAGGAGGGGCAGGAGGGGCTCCAGGCACCGGGGCTGAGCTTCCCCTGCAGAGCCCCGAGCCCCCTCCTGTGCCAGGTGTTCCCAGTCCAGCAGTGCCAGCTCCCTGTCGCTGT